TTGGGTCCTCTAGTGGCAGGTATTGAGATTCCTGTCGCCAGTCACACTGGCTGGACTTGTCTATCTGCTTTAGCCCCAGATTCAATTCATTCTCTATTCACCTTTAAGAAAAGCCCAGACAGACCAAGAGGCTCATGAGGAATAAGGAAAACAGACACCCAGGGTGATTTCCCAGGGGGTCACCTTCCAGGCACTGAAGTGTCCACTTTTTCCTTTCAAGAGTATCAGCTTTTGAAAGCAGATTTCTCATGGAAAAGGCTTAGTGGGCTTTCGAAGCTCATAGTGTCTGCACCTGGAGCCACAAAACCCGACTTTGATCCACATATTTTCTGTGGGTAAGCTCAAGGGCATTCCAGGGAGTGCTGAACAGAAATACAAGATCAATATTTCCTGAGCCCATTCTGCCATTCACTGCTTATCTCTTTCACGTAGGTCACCTTTAAATCCTCCCCAAACCCCTGGGAAGTGAATGTTTTATCCCCATGTCATAGATTTCAGAACTGAAGACGAATTAGGTGAGTGACCTGCTCAAATTAACATAACAAAATATTTTCAAGTTCAAAGAGGTATTAAATATCACCTAGCTCAATAGTCCTTCAACCATCGGCAACAAGATCACCTGAAGCTTGTTAGAAAAGCACATTCCAGAGCCCTCCCACACTTGAAGGTGAGCCCCACGATCCATGTCAATAAGTCCCCAGTGATTATGATGCCCAACTGAGTTTGAACTGTCAGAGCCAGTTCTGGTCCAACCTCTGTGACAATTAAGAAAAGAATAAACAAGTAAGCATGTGAGGTGAGGTGTGTGTTAACTAGCTTGATTTAATCATTTTCCAATGTAATATACAACAAAACATCACATTATACATCATAAATATATACAGTTTTTATTGACAATTATACTTTCATGTATTTGGAAATAAACAAAAGGAAAAAAAGATGTTTAAATAAATGAAGAAAATAATTTGTCAATAGTAATAGAATTGAAATGAAAACCCAATACAGCCACTATCAGAAGTTGAATAGTCCTAACTGGGTAGCTTAGAATGAAAAACCCATCCTTCCATCCCCTGTACCCTCCTCCTGAGACTCTGCTGAACTCTCTGCTCCAAGTCACAGCATTTTCTCAGCACTGCCTAGCAAAGAGAGGGACAACAGGAAAGAGTATCAAGGACCATATTCAGAGTTGAGATGGCATTTGCACACACGTCAGCTATCAGTGTATAGCCCTGTGGGGAGAAAGGTGGTGCCTTTCATTTTCCAAAATCTTTATTTCTAAATCTGTGTGTTGAATTCTCACTTCTAGCAACACCTCCTGCGTGATTGGTAACTGACATAAAAAGTGTTGGCCACCAATGACTGTCCCAGAATGCTTACAAAACAGACTCAGAGGCACCCCAGTTGGAAGAGGAGTCCCAGGGACTTGTCTTGAAGCTGCATTTGAATCCCAGGCATGCTTTTTATGAGAGTCTAAAAGAGATATTTACGTGATGATATTCCAAAGGCTGACATACAGCTTAACAGCTACACAATCTCCAAGCAATCATCTATATTACTTTGCATCAGTATTTAATCAGAGCCTGAGATCTACCTCTCTGGGCCAGTTTCTTCATCCCTACAATGGACAACATCTTAGGGCTTCTGGAAACAAGAGAATAGTTGTTGTTATTATTATTTTAACAGAGAACCCAGGGGAGACTGAGACACATTCACTTTTGAAACTTTTTGGAAAAACACCTACTACCTATAAATTTATAATCTACCTATAAATTTTACCTATTAAATGGAATAGGTAATGGGAATGGAAAGGAGAATTTAACTGCAGAGCAGAGTGTCCTTTTGATCTGGAAAGAACTACTTGAATGAAAACATTATGCAAATATTAACCAAGGGTACTCTCTTTGCCTACTTGCAGAGAGCTACAAAAGATTCATGGAGAAAGGGAATGAAGCATCTAGCCCCTTCCTTTGGAAGGTCAACATTATAAGAAAAACTGGTAGTGTCACCTAAGCCCAGGTGTCAGGAAAAAGACAACAGAAGTCACGGAGAGGAAACATTCCAAAGAAGAGGGGATCTGGGCTGGTGATGTAGAGTCATAACCTCAGTGGGGTCAGAAAGTCCACCCTCAACATGAGACCCCATTTCTTGACAGAAGGCAGATCAGGAAAAGGACAAACACTGAAACCATTGTCCGTAAGCCTGGGGGCCCTTAGGAATAGTTAGGGAGAAGAACCCAAAAAAAAGACTGGACTTCCTAATAATTTGGTACAATAGGCTCATTATCATTGGAATCTCAATCTTGTTTGATAATAGGAGCTGATGATATTTCATGGCCCAGGTTCTAAATCCCCTCCACATATGAACAAGGAGAAAAAAATGGGTAAACCCAAAGTTAAAACTTTTCCTGCATCACTCAGTGATGATGACCCTGCAGAGGAGCTTCAAGAGGACAGATGATGCCCATCCATGGGAACCACATGCCCTTCAACAAAGACGACGACATTCCAAAGCAGAGAGGTTCAGGATGTTGACAACTATATGTGCAGATCCCCCGTGTGTATGTGTGTGTGTGTGTGTGTGTGTGTGTGTGTGTGTGTGTGTGTGTCTGCGCGCGCGCACATACATGCACATTCAGGGCACTGGGGCTGAGAAGTTCTGGATTCCAGAGTCAAAGAGAAGAACCTGATGCTTCAACCTCAGCAGAGGGAAGACTATGTCCATTGGCATAAGAAGAGCTATCTTACCGAGAGCACTGATCATTGATGCAACTGAAGTTTAAAACTGCAAGGGTGTAATGCACCATTTCTCCTGTGTCACTGATACCGGGAGCCAGCAATTCTCCAGTTTTTTCAGACCTTGAGTGACTCTGAGGGCGGGGAGGGGATGCATAAATGATACACTCCTATAGCATTACTTAAAAGTCCAGCCAGAGTTCATTCTTCTTTGAAATCCTAAAGTCATATAGAGATGTAGCTCAGTGGTAAAGTGCCCCTTGGGTTCAATCCCAAGTGCCAAAATAAAAAAAAAAAAAAAAGAAAGAAAGAAGAAGAAGGAGGAGGAGGAGGAGGAGGAGAAAAGAAAGAATCAACCATCCCCTTTGGAAGAAAGAGTGGTTCCAGAACAGCACAGCAATAAATGAGTAGTCAATGGCAATGAAATTTCTAGCCTCAATTGCTAAAGGATTGGCATAACTGTACCTTCTGTGTCCTTCCTATTGTGCCAAATGTTACAAGGAACCAGGAATAAGTCCTGACTTAAAAAAAAAAAAAAACTTATAATTTGGTCTCTCTCGGGAACCCACATATTGACACATGGTACAACTAGCAGATCAAGTGAAGGGCCACCAGTCAGTACATTCCATCTACGAAAAAGCATGAAGAGACTGCAAAGGGAACAGGTGGTGGTCCCGGAGGTGTTCGTTCTTGGAGAGCACCCTTCTGCTGTTCATTGAAGAAGACAATAGACCTGCTTTGAGATGGGGGAGTAGCTATAGAGCCCTGTGGAGAGGTTGGCTCCAGAGTGAGAAAACATAAGAAAGCTATCCGACGCCCCCTCTTTCACCACAGTCACCTGCAGAGAGCTGCAGGTTTACAGGATGTGCTTCGGGTGAGTGGGTTTTATTTTATTCACAACCTCATAAAGTAATAACCAAACCCCTCCTAGGGAATAAGAAAAGCACTTGGCTGCGATTCTTGTCTTACCCATGTAGTAGCCACTTTGTACAAAGAAATCCAAACCCCTATTCATCACTTTTGCTGTAAACTCATCTATAATGCAGTCTTTACTAAAAAGAACCTTCACATAATGAAATGGCTTTTATTGAGCAATTACACACATCACCTGGATGCAAAAGAGAGCATATCTTTCAAATATATTTCACAGACGCCCAAAATTATCTGAAGTGAGATCCGTATACTCTACTAACCACGCGGAAAATATAAGTCTATGATGGAAAGAAAAGCAAGAGATTAAAAATAAGGATACCGGAAGAAAGAAGGCGAGGAAGACAAGCTGGAAATTGATTAGATCTTAATTCTGGGTTTTTTGGGGGGAGAGGGGTTGTGTATTTGTTTATTTATTTGTTTGTTTGTTGGTTTTGGTACTGGGAATTTAACCCAGAGGCATTTAACCACTGAGTCATATCCCCAGCCTTTTAAAATATTTTATATAAAGGCAGGGTCTCCCTGAGTTGCTTACCACCTAAGTTGCTGAGGCTGGCTTTGAACTCTGGATCCTCTTGCTTCAGCCTCCTGAACTGCTGGGATTACAGGCATGTGCCATCATGCCCAGGTAGATTTTAATTATGGTATGAGTATTACTGTATGTTTCAATACTCATTCAAGATAAAAAAAAATCCCTTTTATACCACATTCATATCCAGACTGATTTTCATTAAGCCCAGGTGAGAAGGTCAGGAATAGAGTTATAAGGAAAATGGAATACAATATTAAATGAAAATAAGAGGCATTCACAGGGAGAGGCAAGACTAAACAATGAACAAGAACAGGGTAGACAGCCATCTGGGAACCAACACAAGAAGATTCTCACTTTCTTTCAACTGACAGCAGCTCTTCCATCTCTCACAACCAGAAACCCTCCCCCAGCAAGAGACTCCAGAGACACCAGGTTGAATGAATCCCACCACACACTTTTTTTTCTGTGCACTTATCTGGATGCGTCATCCTCCTTTGAAGCAAAAGACTCATTAATCCAATTTAAATTGTCAACATCAGTAAGTTCTTTACATTTAAATGCCAATATCAATTAAATGCCAAGAACAACTTATCCACTGAGATAATCTTCACTACATTCGGGACACTCAGCCAGGAGTCCAGCCAGCACTGATTCCAACTCTCCTTCATCATCTCTAATTTACTCAGCACAAAGACATGACATAAGTTGCAGGCCACACTGGTGATGCACCCAACTGGATTGAAAAAAAAAAAAAAAAAACTCCCAAGCAGATAAAAAGGAACAAAGTGAGTTTTCATCCACCAAACCTGAATGATGTCTTCACCAAGGCTTCAGGGCTATCCAGCTGTGGTAATTCATCTGCTAGGATTTCTTCCGGGGGCCGTGGGTCATGAACAATTGTTGGCCTTGGCTTCTCCTTGAGATTCCCGGTGAGCCCATCGATGAGGGAGTTCCACAGACAGTTCTGCGACTTTGACCCTGAGGATGAGGAGAAAAGGATGACGTGCAGGTGAATCCCCAAACTACTAGGTGTTCTGCCTTTCTGTTCAGGATGTTCAAAAGCAGGGCAGGGAGATTTGTGCCTTTCTCACATCATCTCCACCAACATCCAAGGGCTCCGGAAGATACTGATCGGGCAACATATGGAGTAACCAGGAATTCTTACATTTATTCAGAAAATAGGCTAGCACTGAGCAACCTGACTTACTGTCCGCATTATGGATACATCCTGTCTCATCTCGGAGGTGTTCAACCCTCAACTCCTGGGACAGCCTCAGATACCTACTAAGATGTTCATTCAGCAATTTCAAGTGCTCTAAAGTGCTACCATTTTAGGGAACAGTGGGGATGTTCAGACACAAGTCTCCCCTAGGTTCTTGGCTTGCCTGAGGCCTAAGCTTCAAAACTCCATTCTGTAGACACACCCACCCCAAAGAGATTCCCACCCCTAAGAACTGGAGCTCACAATTCCCAGGTTGATTCTTCTGCAATATGAAGACCCAAAGAAAATTATGCTGCATGTTTATTGATATCCTACTCTACAAACACTTCAAAATACAAGATAATCATGAAAGGCAAGCACCAAGTGAAAAGTGGTGCCTGATTAGCCAGGTGGTCAACATCAACAGTGATAAGTGATATGGACAGTGTGGACCCTTGATGTGATGTGAAAACAGCTCTGGGATCTCTCTCGTCAAAACACATCTTCCCCAGGTAGTAAGTATGATCCCATCTTTTGTAAACTTCATGCTTTAGCATCTGCCCTTTCTGAACCTAGCAGACACAGCCAGCTCTGTCACTTTGCCTTGGTCCCCACCTCTCTCAGCACCCACCCACCCCAGCATCACAGGGGGATTCATCCTCCCAGGGATGCACTTTTCAAATACAAACCAGCCAGTCCATAATCCATCCAAACCTCTTCCCTCAAAGGGATTTCATGCTCCTTGCCCCTATCCACCTGCCCTAGCAATCCCAGGCCCAGGTACCAGACAGCTAGGTACTAGACAGCCCTGTGCCCAAGAACCCATTCAAACTAGCCAAGCCTAAGCCTGCTTGTCCAGCCTTGCCTGTTCCTTCCCACAAAGAAAAAAGAAAAAAAAATAAAGCCTCTTGTCCATGATTCCTCTCTCTTTCTGCCTCAGAACAGACCCCAAGTGCTTCCCCAAATGCCCCCAGGACATGATATGGAACCCACCCCTAGGATCTATCAGTACAACAAGCTACCTTTACAATGGCAGTTGTCTCCAGATCTGTTGGCCTTACCATATGTAAATAATAATAAAACCCATTAAAACACCCAGTCTAGTCATGGGGAAAACGTCTGATAAATAAGTACTCTTTAAAACCATCAAGGTCATACAAGGAAAGTCTGAGAAACTGTCACAGCCAAGAGGAGCCTAAGAAACAAGATGACAAACTGCAATGCGTTATCCTGGATAGGATCCTGGACCTAAAAATATTGTTAAGAATCCAAACAATGTATGGAGTTCAATTAATAATAATGTATCCAAATTAGTTCATAATTGTATGAAGTGAACCGTATTAATGGTCCATTACAGAGGTATCCAGGTGTGAGGAATACCAGATTTCTTTGTATTGTTTTATTAGAAATCTAAAAACTATTAAAATAAAATAATTCTAAAAATAAAAGCAAGTAGATAAAAGTAAATCAAAAACTTCACTTAAAATGTCTATGAGTACAAATTTTTTCCAGTCTGAGAGCATTATCATTATTCAAATACCATTAGCTTGTGCTGCTTACACACTACCCAGAGGAAAAAAAATGATTTTACCTTTGTGCAAAGACTTTGTCAGACAACCAACACCTGTACGCATGGATCTGTGTCCATCCTGAGGGAAGTGGCTTTTTCAACCCCATTCAAGCAGAGGGAATGCCTCTTTCTAACTCACACAAAGGCTCTTTATGGGGCACAGGTGATGTGCAGGAAACAGTAAGAAGCAGCGCCAGCTAAAGCATATCATGCATGTGACAGGGGTGGAGAGACTTGGTTTGTGTGCCCATAGCCTTACCTCAACACCCTGACCAGCCACCTATATATAACCCACCAGATGATATCACCCAGCTTCTTGTGCCTGAAGGATAGTTTTGCTACTAGGATCAAAAGAATTTCACACACAAAGAGAGAAGCATCTCACAAAGTTCCTTGAGCTTTCACCAAGGATACCCAGGATCAGCAAACAATTCCTGTAATAACCATGGCCATGACTGATTCCCCTTGGGGTGTCCATCCAAACTGCTTTCAGGTCAATCAAGAGCACTTTAGTGGCAGGAAACAGACCCCCTCCAACTCCTGAATTGCAAAACAACTTTTTTAAAGCCCTAAACATATATCTTAATATGATCTAGTCTTATTAATGAAGGTCTGGTCCTATGCTGATGAAGATCTCTGGACGCTAATGAGGATCTGGTGCTAGGAAGAAGAACAAGAGCAGGGCCTGTTTTCTTAAATTTGCCCTAAGTGAAAGCCTTGCAATAAGCCTCCTGCACACTTCCCTTCGTTCCTTCATTTTGTTCATTCTATAAACACATATTTAATTTCCTCAGTATGCCAGGTTCCTTTCAGGCCCTAAAATAGAAAAAATGAATGATTGAGGAATTGAGAATGTAAAAGGAGGAGACGGAGGTAAATGGTGAGTGATACTATTTATAACTTCTACCCCAGCCTTCTTTTAAACTTATTGATGTAACTTTTGTAACTTTGACCCACAAGCAATCACAACAAATAAGCAATACCCATAACTAAGGGGCAAACAAGGTGTTCCAGGAGCCCAGGGAGGGCTCACCTGCCCAGCCTCAGCACCCTGAGGAAAGCTACACTGAGAACACAACACATGATGTGAATCTAAAGCCAGAGCAGCTCTTCAGCAGGTAGGGAAGAACAGGGAGATGGTTCAGTGCAAAGAGTATGTGCAAAGGCTCAGGGGCACAGCAGAGTGGTTTACTGAGGCTGGAGTCAACAGAAGGGGCCTTGTAAAGTGCCTTGAACAAAATGCTAATCATTTTAAATTTTCTTCTGTAAGCCAAAAAGTACTTAAGATTTTTAAGCAAGGTTGTGGTGACATACCTGTTTTAGAAGAGAGACCACATGCTGTAAGGCAATGAGCCCATGAGGAATGCAGGGTTATACAAAGAGCTCTGTGAATGCAGACAAAGCCAGGCACTTTATCTGTAGATGAGCTAAAGTCTCGCGCACACAAATGACTACTTTGAAGTACATACAGATATGACTAATAAACGAAAAATCATGAATTCAAAGCATTCATGATTCATAATAGCTTTTTTACCATGTTCTCAGTAGTGAATGAGAAGGATCAAGAGACTCAAGCCAAGGGGCTGGAGCTACAGCTCAGCGGCAGAGCTCTTACCTCGCATGCGTGAGGCACTGGGTTCAACCTCAGCACCACATAAAAATAAACAAATAAAACAAAGGCATTCTGTCCATCTACACTACAAAAAAAAAAAAATTAAAGAGACCCAGCCAATTCTCCATTACAGGTTCCAAATAGACACACAATGATGTCTCCAAAAGGTACTAACAGCACAGACACGCTGATAAGTTCAAGAGAAGAATATAGCATTATAGCATAATCTATAAATAAGATTCTCTTAACATTCATCCCTAACTAGACTTTCACTTGCCATCTTCTTCTCAACAGCTTAGGAAACAATTGGGTGTGGTGCACACACCTATAATCCCAGCAGCTCAGGAAGCTGAGGCAGGAGGATTGCTAGTTCAAAGCCAGCCTCAGCAACTTAGTGAGGCACTAAGCAACTCAAGGAATCCCTGCCTGTAAATGAAATTTTTAAAAAAAGGGCTGTGGATGTGGCTCAGTGGTTAAGTGCCCCTGGGTTCAATCCCTGGTACCAAAAAAAAAAAAAAAAAAAGTTTAGGAAACAATATATGCAATTTTTAGCCTCTTTTGCTGCCACAGTTAACTTTGTATTATAATTCTGGTCCAATGAACTGTAAGTGGAAATTTCTGAGCTAGTGTCTCTTCCTAACAGACCCACCACCCCACTGCCCCACAAAGAAAAAGTGGGGGGGGGCAGGGAGTAAATACTCATTATAAGAATATTTTTGCCAAAGTTTTGAAAACTTGGTCTTTCCCTCAAAGATCCTCCCCATATTCATGAGCAGAAAGTATGCAGATTTCACAGTATGATGAAGTTTAAAAAACAAACAAAAAACTTACTTTCTTGCTAAATTCAAACAAAAGCAGAAAGCTAAAATAACAATAACAATTTTAAAGATGGGAAATATCCAAGCCCCATCCCTGTCTTAAAACATTCTCGTCATTATCCCACTTGATATAAGCTGTAATTACATAGAACTTAGGCACCATTAACAGGGATTAACTAAGAGCTCATTAATGCAGTTTCACCTATAATCTGACCCTAAGGAACAAACCCATTGAGGTCCAGGCAATTGGCAGGATAAGGGCATCACTAGGAATTTTTGTTTTATTTCTCTTTTAATCTCTTTCAGAAGGTAAATGATTAACAACTGCCTGCTTCAGGTAAATTACACAACACAAAATGGGAAGATTTAAGAATGTTGCTATGCCTGGAGGATGAGTTCACTGATTCATGCCAACCAACAACAGAAAAGTACTAAGTGCCCCCCCCAAGCTCTGGCATGGTGCTGAGCATTTCAGAGCTTTGTGCTGAAAGCTACAGTACACACAGAAACCTTTACTGAATTATTCCCTTACTCAAGAAGCTTTGAAAAGAAGGTGAAAACACAAGGCAAACTAGAGCTACTCTTTTGAAAAATGAATTGATTTTCCCCTAATCTCTACCCCTATCCCCTTCACAAACACTATCAAGAAAAAAGGTTAAGACTTTAAAATGGGCAAAAAAGTTTAATGGGTATCCTATCTAATTCATCAGGGTCATCTGGGTTTTATCTCCATATTTCATTATCATAGAACTATTTTATACAGTGTAAATTTGAGAA